GCATGTTGTAACAAAATCTAAAGCAAAACTATCAAAGCCTTAGAAGCGCATAGAATAAATCAGGATGAAATAGAGTTTTTCAGTTAGTTTTTAGGTACAGAAAAGCTAAATGGAAGATCCATGAAAGAAAAGGGTAAACTGGGAGGGGGCACAGAGGTAGGAAAGACGGTGACATGCAATGGTCTTCATTACCCTAAATAAATGTATAAAGACATGAAGGATGTGACTCTACTTTATGTACAACGAGAGATAAGAAAAATGTGCTTTATGTGAGTAATATGAATTGTAATGCATCCTGTTGTCATATATAACAAATTATTTTTTTAAAAAACGCTGTACTTTATCAATAATAATTTTGGCTCTGAATAAGATATATCAAGAACCTGAAAACCCATGTCACTTATGGAGGATATTTTCAAAGATACACTTGGTAAATTGTTTTTCAAAATGCATAAGGTACCCTTTACACTCAACAATAAGAAATAAAACTGATTAAAAACTATAGCAAGCCCCTTAAAAGAGAAGTCATAAAGATGTTAGGTAAACATTTGAAAGATGCTCCATATCAAAAGGTCATTAGTGAAATCTAAGTTAGAACAACAAAGAGATACCATTATATACCTATAATAATGGTCAAAATACAGAACACTGGTAGCACCAAGTGCTGACGAGAATGTAAACCAATAGCCTGCTCATGCACTGTCTGTGGGTATGCAAAATACCTTAACATGCACTTACCATAGAGTCCATCAATCATTTTCCTTGTTATTTACCCACAGTAACTGAAAACGTTTGTCCATAAAGAATCCTACGCATGGAGGTTTACAGCATATCTAGCATATTTATTCACAATTTTTAAAATGTGAACTTGAAAAAATAAAAATAAAAAAGAGAGAGAAATGAGTTACAGTAGATGGGGTAGAGAGAGATGATTGGAGGGGAGGGGAGGTGAGGGGGGATAGAAAGGGGATAGGAAGGGCAGCAGAATACAACAGACACTAGTATGGCAGTATGTATAAACGTGACTGTACAACCAATGTGATCCTGCAATTTTTACATGTGGAAAAAATAAGAATTCATACCCCATTTGAATCAAATGTATGATATATGATATGTCAAGATCATTGTCATGTTTTGAGCAACTAATAAAAAAAAAGTGAACTTGATCAAGAGATTCTTTTGCAAACAACGGAATAAATAAATTGTGTTACATAGAGAAAGTGTAATATTGTTACAGTAATAAGAAGAAATCAGCGATCAAGTTATAAAAAGACATGGGGGGAAATGTTATCATTGAGTGAAATAAAGCAATGTGGTAAAACTACATGTTGTATGATTCCAAATATATGACATCCTATAAAAGAGCAAATGATAGAGACACTAAAATGATTAATGGTTTCCACTGTACAAGGGGAAGAAGGGATGAACAGGCAGAGTACAGAGGATTCTGATGGTGGTGAAAGTACTTCAGATGATGATATAAAGGTGAATACAGGTCACTATACATCTTTTAAACCCTGCCCCTCCCATAAAAATACATAACACCAAGAATGAATGACACTGTGAATGATATACTGTTGGTGTTAATTATATGTCCATTGAAGCTCACAATTGTTAAGAAATATACTGCTCTGGTAATGCTGTTGATACTGGGGCATGCTGTATTGTGTAGAAGGAGGTACTGTATAGGAAATCTCTGCTCCTTTTCCTCAATTTTACCAAATTTACTGTTGGCCTAAACTATTCTACAACATAAAGTCTTTTTTTTAAAAAAATATTTTCATTAATATCACTAGTAAAGAAAATGCATTTGTTGTGTATAAGAATTTATATGCATGTGTTAGTTGCATCACATTTTCTGATAAGTAAAATTAGAAACTTATACATGGATATTCAAAAGAGAAAGTGCTTTTTAAACATGTGACCTAGTTTTTATGATTTTTATTATTTTTTTAATCTAATAATGCAAACTGCCTCTCTCAAATATCTCTCCAGCTGGGCTCAGTAGCACATGCTTGTAATCAGGAGGCTGAGGCAAGAGGATCTTGAATTCAAAGCCAGTCCCATAAAAAATGAGGGACTAAGCAACTCAGTAAGACTCTGTCTCTAAATAAAATACAAAATAGGGCTGGGATGTGGCTCAGTGATCAAGTGTCCCCAAAGTCAGTCCCCAGTACCGCCCTCTTAAAAAAAAATCCCTCCACAAAAAATAGTAGAAAATATATGTCCTATTTAAGATGAAAAGAACATAGTTCTTCTCTCTAGGAATAGATGTATACTTTGTTCACTTTTTCTTGTGTTCAATAAATATATTTTAGCCTTTACTATGTCACAGGCATATTGTAAGTGGGAATGCAGAGTGCTGAAAATATCAGCAAAGGCTCCTTTCCTCATGGTGTTTATTTAAATTCTAGTGAAGACAACTGATAATAAGCAATATAAGAAATATATAACATGCTATATTTAGTGATAACATTTAAGATGTCATGTGAACCACTGGACTTTGGGAAAGATCTCACTGATTAAATGACATTTGAATGAAACATAGAAAGGTGAGTTGTACAATGTTTGACTGTCTGTGGGAAGAAAGGGGAAGGCAGAGGAGGAAGTAGAGGGAGCTTAAGAGGCTCCAGCCTCAGGAGCCAGGATGGCAGCAAAAGATAGGACTAAGGATATTTAAGTGAAAAACAATGAAATGTTAGATTATTTTCATTTCTTGAAGGAAAAAAAAATCCCTTCCCCTAAAACATAGTTTATTTTTCAAAACAAATGTTTCAAAATTTAAATACTCATTGTCACAGTCTATTCAAGCTGCTACAATGAAATATCTTAGATCTGGTCACTTATAAATGACAGTAATCTATTTTTCACAGCTTAGAGATGAGGAAGCCAATGGGTTTTTTTTTTTTGTTTGTTTGTTTGTTTTTTTCTCTCTCTCTCTCTCTCTCTCTCTCTTTTTCCCTCCAACTCTTTCTTTCTCTCTTTCTTTAATTCCATTTTCATCAATATATGAAACTGTTCACTTCTGAGGATATTGTGTGT